GGGGACGGGGCCGGGGGACGGGGCCGGGGACGGGGCCGGGGGACGGCGGGACGGGGCCGGGGGACGGGGCCGGGGGACGGGGCCGCGGGACGGGGCCGGGGGACGGGGCCGGGGACGGGGCCGGGGACGGGGCCGGGGACGGGGGACGGCGGGACGGACGCTCCCGGGCCGGTGCAGCTGGTGATGGCCGGGTGGATGAGGTCCCCTGTGATGAGGTCCGTGAACGCTCTAAGCAGAATGGACCGTAAACTGATGAGACTGTAGGGAAAACGGCACGTTTGACGTGCTCTCAGGTGGTGTTACCACTGTATATGCATTTATGATGTCGCAGTACTTTGTCGAACTGCAAGTCTTTAGGCCCAAACTGTACTTCAGACAGCATTCTTCCAAAATGTGCTTCACAGAATACTCAAATAATGACCATTCCAAGGCAACACATACCATCGAGACAGTATTATCCAGTGTGACGAGGCAGTATGCGTGTTCGAAGAGTGTTATCGACGTGCTAACAGCGCTCGTGTGGACTCCGACCGCCTGGCAACGGAGCCTTGAACGAAACAGACGCCAGCAATGACTATACATCATTGAACTAGTTACGACGCTATCTGGCCGCTCAGTTGGCTTTGAATGAATTTAGCATAGCTGTTGTGCCCAGTTTCTTGTGTAAGCCATGTCTATACAGATATATACTGGACAGGGACCTTCTGTAGTGGTATCCAATGGGAACAGGGCCACCGTTTGAGCAGATAAGGACTGTTGATTGTGGCAACACCCATTTGATGGGGCTATGGATTTGATTTAGGGGGTATAGCCGCTGCGAATTTCAAGTGTCGTTTGCATAACAGTGTCGATTGTGGATTTCTACATTTGTAGGCCGTTTGTGGACGAGGACCGTTTGTGTACAGGGAGTGTTTGTGGACATGGACTGGTTGTGCACGCGCCGGACGGGGACCGCTGTTGTGGACAGGACAGGACCCGCTTATGGACATGGACTAGTTGTGGTTACGGGTTTAAAGGCGCGGGTCGTGTTACGGCGAGATGGCTCTAAAACTGGAGAGTGTGATACGTTATGTGATGTGCTATAGCTACATATACATATAAGCCGTCTCTATCGTGAAATGCTGCTGTAGTACAATAAGAACTCTCTAAGTCTAAGAGTACTTCTAAGTGAAGCGGAGAGGGCACATGTATGTAAAGTGTCCATTGGTGATGCTATACCGTGTGTCTGACACTGCTTTGGGTGGTCCCGAGGTTCGCCCCGGAGGACACTAGCTGTAAGACCCGTCAGCCATTTACACTGTATCAGCCGTCTTGGGTATCGACTGTTACGGGCAATGTGCTTACTCGGGCAGTACATTCACACTGTATCAGCCATCTTGGGTATCGACTGTTACGGGCAATGTGCTTACTCGGGCAGTACATTCACACTGTATCAGCCATCTTGGGTATCGACTGTTACGGGCGATGTGCTTACTCGGGCAGTACATTCACACTGTATCAGCCATCTTGGGTATCGACTGTTACGGGCAATGTGCTTACTCGGGCAGTACATTCACACTGTATCAGCCATCTTGGGTATCGACTGTTACGGGCGATGTGCTTACTCGGGCAGTACATTCACACTGTATCAGCCATCTTGGGTATCGACTGTTACGGGCAATGTGCTTACTCGGGCAGTACATTCACACTGTATCAGCCATCTTGGGTATCGACTGTTACGGGCAATGTGCTTACTCGGGCAGTATGCAACTGCCATCTGCTGAGAGAGGGGCCCGACCCCCTGGCTTGACTATCCGTCCATATTCGACCCAGTGAGTGGTCGGCTCGGCTGCTGCGTTATCTCGTGATTGTGTGATTCCTTATTATTTATTGAATACATTTTTACAAAGCGTTGCGAGCATATCACATGGATGGATTTAAGGTGAAGCAGGTATCAGGCAACGTTAATTCACGCGCCTTTTTATTCTGTCGATTTTCCCGTTTTTCTTCCACATTAGGTCTGTTCGGCTTAATTTTTTTTTCATTTTTAAATGGATATTGCCTAAAGCAGCCGATGGATATCAGCAGCTAAGACGATTGGACGATGAGAGATCGTGGAGACAGACGACTGCGCTGGCAATTTTAGATACTCTCAGCCAGACAGACGACAGACAATCAACTCTCGAACAGCCAGCAGCCAGTTAACTCCCAACCAGACAGACGGTAACCAGTTAACTCTAGGACAAATGGTGAGCGTTGGGGCGAGCAGACTGATTACCTTGAGGACAGATCGAAACACACCGTGTGGTGGATGTGTCAGAGAGGACCGAGGCCAGCCGAGGCAGTCGCTCAGGACTCTGTTACGGCGAGGGGGGGGGGCCGCCGCTCCAGCAGTGTCACACCGCGGCACCGACACCCCTCCCCCCTCCCCTCCCCTCGCGGCACGCTTCCCATCTGGCACCGTCACGTGACCTTGACCTAGTGCAGTCGCCGGGCGGCCGACTCGGTCATCCAGCTGACACAGCATGGGCCAGCACTGATCCCGACAGCTCAGGAAAACCCGGCGCCGACGGCGGGGTGGTGGTGTCCGGTGCCGGACATACCGCGGCCAATGGTGGCCACCCAGTGATATCTGGTGACTGTCCGGTGACCTCTGTGACCTCTGGTGACCGCATACGCATCTGATGGTGAATAATATCCTATGTGGGGGAGAGGGAACGATCCAAGCGGGTGGCAGGCCCACGCCTGTGGCCTTTCCGGGCCGGCAGGCCCTGCAGTATTTCCGGTTTATGGTGTTGACTGTGCTGAATAATATCAGTGTGACAGAGCGTGCTTGAGAGGGCAGGCTGAGGACCGACTCTGTGGGGCAGTCCGGGGCCCGAGTGATGTTCAATGCGCTGTCACGACGGAAGTGGTGCGATTTTCGCAACGAATCCCAGCCTGAATCATTGGGAATTCGGTCAGCTTCAAGAACACAATGCAGCGACATTCATTCACACCTTGGTGCGTTAGGTATGACTCAGTACAGCTTTGTTTACCAATTTCAAATTCATATGTTCACAAGACTGCTCGTGAAACCGGCGTATAATAAATAACTGGGAAGATGTCTAGCAATACCTACCTAGTTACTTCTCGAAGACATTACAGACCAGGCCAGGCTCTCACGCTAGCTTTTTGTAAAATGTAGGGTATATCGTTCTGCCTTTGGTAATTGCCAGCAATAGGTATGCACTATAGAGCGAGCACAAGTTCGCTACGCTACATGCTTGGCAATCGGACCAAGACCGTCCGATGTCATTCTTTCCATACAACGCTCGTAAACGTTTACCTACTCTCACACACGGAGAACTATTGAAGAGGAGGCGCCTTTTGAGTCTCTTCAACTCATCTGTCTTCACCTGGACTCCGTGCACACCAGCTAAGAGTAAAACTCGGTATAAGGTGTTACAACGGAAGCGTGTCTTCCTGGCTGGTAGGCTGTACCGCAATATCTTCCTGGCTGTTAGACTACCGCAATGCCTTTCTGGCTGTTAGACTGTACCGCAATGCCTTCCTGGCTGTTAGACTACCGCAATGCCTTTCTGGCTGTTAGACTGTACCGCAAAGCCTTCCTGGCTGTTACTCTATACCGTAATGCCTTCCTGGCTGTTAGACTGTACCGCAATGCCTTCCTGGCTGTTAGACTATACCGTAATGCCTTCCTGGCTGTTAGACTGTACCGCAATGCCTTCCTGACTGTTAGACTGTACCGCAATATCTTCCTGGCTGTTAGACTGTACCGCAATGCCTTCCTGACTGTTAGACTGTACCGCAATATCTTCCTGGCTGGTAGGCTGTACCGTAATGCCTTCCTGACTGTTAGACTGTACGGACTGTACTGTAATGCCTTACTGGTTGTAAGACTGTACCGCAATGCCTTCCCGGCTGTTAGACTCTACCGCAATGCTTTCCTGGCTGTTAGACTGTACCGCAATGCCTTCCTGGCTGTTAGGCTGTACCGTAATGCCTTCCTGGCTGTTAGACTGTACCGCAATGCCTTACTGGGTGTTAGACTGTACCGCAATGCCTTCCTGGCTGTTAGACTGTACCGCAATGCCTTCCTGGCTGTTAGACTATACCGCAATGCCTTCCCGGCTGTTAGACTGTACCGCAATGCTTTCCTGGCTGTTAGACTGTACCGCAATGCCTTCCTGGCTGTTAGGCTGTACCGCAATGCCTTGCTGGCTGTTAGACTGTACCGTAATGCCTTCCTGGCTGTTAGACTGTACCGCAATGCCTTACTGGGTGTTAGACTGTACCGCAATGCCTTCCTGGCTGTTAGACTGTACCGCAATGCCTTCCTGGCTGTTAGACTATACCGCAATGCCTTCCCGGTTGTTAGACTGTACCGCAATGCTTTCCTGGCGGTTAGACTGTACCGCAATGCCTTCCTGGCTGTTAGACTGTACCGCAATGCCTTCCTGGTTATTAGACTGTACCGCAATATCTTCCTGGCTGTTAGACTGTACTGCGATGCCTTCTTGGCTGTTAGACTGTACCGCAATGCCTTACTGGGTGTTAGACTGTACCGCAATGCCTTCCTGGCTGTTAGACCGTACTGCAAGGCCTTCCCGGCTGTTAGGCTGTACCGCAGGCGCAATGCCTTTCTGGCTGTTAGGCTGTACCGCAATGCCTTCCTGGCTGTTAGACTGTACCGCAATGCCTTCCCGGCTGTTAGACTATACCGTAATGCCTTCCCGGCTGTTAGGCTGTACCACAATGCCTTCCTGGCTGTTAGACTGTACTGCAAGGCCTTATACCTAATGGCCTCGGCTAGCAATCGTAGATAAATACTGTGAGTTGGCTGTCCCATTTTGCTTGTTTATCATCGACTTACGAACATTTGTCGTATCAAACGTTATCTTATGAAAAATATAGGCATCAGATTAAAGCAACTTTGGTACCTACTGGGCGCTGACGCATAATCAATAAGCTGGAGGTTAACTCATCAAAAGTGATCAGCATCTTCCATAAACACGGTATTTTGTGTAATGTGTATGGTGTTAGCATGTATTTATCATGAATATGCATGGATAATCGCTGACATTTGTTGTGATAATGGCCGGAACTCCTATAGGAGATTCAGTTTCGATAATTAACATACACTAATGACACATAAACACATATCTCAAACATTTCATATAATCCAGCAGTGATATTGACTAAATAGGGCTGTAGAATAGCACCAATAGCTCCGTCGCCAGCGCCGTTTAGTCGGAGCTTGTCTCTGTTCAACTATGTGTTTACTGGCTCGTGATAACTATCGACACACATACACAACAACACATACATACACACAAGAGCACACACACTACACAGTATGGTTTCTATCGTGAACATGTGAGCCGTTCTGCGTTCACCGCGAGCTCACAGCTCGACTAATCGGCCGACGCGCCGGACACATATTCTATCACAGAAGGCGCCGGTTCGGCCGACTCCTAATGCCCGGATCCCGTTTACCCCTCCCTCCCCGTGACCTCACGACATCACGTGCGCTCCAGTCCGCCCCGTGAGCCGACTCTTCCATTCATTGTGCGGGCAGTGCTCCGTGAGCCAGCTCGGTTCCCGGTTCAATAACATATCCACTGACGAGTCACGTTCCTAGGATTCGAGCGCCGTGCTGTACTTCTTGACTCAGCTTCCGACGACTCAGTCCAGCTGAGTCAGTCCAGCTGAGTCGGTCAGCTGAGTCAGCCCCCCCCCCCCCCCCGCTAGTAGGAGTGTCTCTGTTCCGCTGGGACGCTGGACAGGGCGGTGGGATTGTAAACATTACATCGGTCAGCTCCGCTGTCCGACGGTCGGGGCGGCCGGTCCGCATCCCACCCGTCCTTGTACGGAGGCCGCACGGCAGGCGTAGACAACACACACTGACACCGCTCAGACGAGGTGTCAACTTACTGGCCGATATCCGTCACTGTAACTACTGTGTCGCCAGGCACCGGGGGACTGCCCTCGACAATAAGTCTGGAATACTGCCGCCGCGACACTGACTCCGAAACTGAGACTACGTGACACTGCGGCAGACACACTGACCGTGACTTCGTCTCCGACACACGTCTTTCTCAGAGTCTTTGATATGCTCCCGGGAGACTGCACTTCCTAACCAGCAACAGACCGCTGATCAGCCGTCTCAGCAGCGCGCAGCAGCCAGCACGGCTGAGCTCAGCAGCAGCAGCAGCAGGCTGGGCAGAAGACCTCCGGCGCCGGAGCCGCCGATCCTCGGCAGAAAGTCGCCGAACCCCATCACTGTCGGAGGGATACACGGGTCAGTTAGGCACCCACGTCACCAAACCGACACGGAGACGCGGTAGGTCGACCCGACGGGACGAGGTGCGAGCGGTGAATACATAGGACACAAATAAACGACAAAAAAAAACAGCAAATATGTCGCCTTGACTTCAATGGATAATGTGCAATTTTGCATAAACTTATCTAAAAAAGATGTAAATAAAACAAGAATATCTTAAAACATAATTTCAAAGAAGCTTGCTTCTACTGTTCCTATCATTTATCAGAATCATGCACAAGTGATTGGCTTATTTGCTGACCAAAATGCATACAGAAAAAGGGAACATTGTGACATCATTTCATAAATATGCAAGATATTACAACAAAAATTACCCGACGTTTCGTTTATTATAACTTTTTCAAGGGTAATGTTAATTATAATTAACATTAACATTAACTTTTTCGTTAATTATAATAAACGAAACGTCGGGTAATTTTTGTTGTAATATCTTGCATATTTATGAAATAATCGTCACATTACAACTCATTGTGACATCAATTAACACAATATACGCTCCATTGGCATGCTGACATCACAAACATAGCCGCGCCGAGTGCAGTGGGTGCAGTGCGGTTAGTGTGTCACCAGTGTTGGCACGACGCTACGAAGTGACCCACTATTTGAGTGCGACCGGTCGAGCGCGTGTGAGAAAACTAAATGTTGGCTCAGCGAGCGTTCGACGTCCGTGCAGTCGGCTGCGGCATGCTGGGCGCGGCGCAAGGTCAGCAGTGCGCCGCACGTGCTGGCTAGAATGACTATGGTTGCCTACTGCCTAGGTCTGCACATTAGAGAAGACCACAATACTTCTACTGTACACACATACACATACTACCGCTGGCTGTTATTCATTCAAGCTGGGATTTCATGTGCAAAATGGACATGCAGGAAGTTATGAAAGAGAGGATGGGATGAATCGATCCGTTAGTAATACAAATTGCGTCGCATACGTTCTGGTTCTGCTTGAATTCCAGGAATGCCTTGTGCGATGGTTAGTGGTGCAATTATCTAGAACTACGGTTAGTTTTCACCAAAGCTAACTACGTAGTTAGTGTGAGTCATGCTAGTTAGAAGTTAGAAATACGGTACTATGATGTGTCATGCTAGTTAGAAGCTAGAAATACGGTACTACGATGTCGTACCTCGCACTGAATGGAAAATTACGAGGAGAAAATCGTAGACGATTTCCAGGGACCTGGGAAGCAAGTGCATGTTGAAGGCATTGCTAAAAACGAACTTGACCAATAAGGTGTTCCATAAATCAAGCAAAATAAAAATAAAATGTGATCCACGTCAAACAACAACACATCCATGGACATAGGTGAAATACAACATTCAGATCAGCGTGTTTCCGTGTCACCAGACCTGGAATGCTTACAAACTGACGTCCTAACCCCCTCGCTCGAGCCATGTCTGAGGTCATGATGTCCCCATGACCCTCACAAGTTCCCGTTGCCCTCTGAGCACCCCACACGGATCCCACGGCACAGTTCGGGCAGCCCGCCTGTCTCCAGAGCCTACAATGACACCAGTGCCCCGTCTCTGGCAGTGAACACACAGTATCTGTGGATTGTGCTCTGTCAGCAGGGCTAATCGGTCGACCGGGACCGGCACGCGGCGCCCGTCATAACACGGTTCGGCCGCGGGTCGGAGGCAGGGTCGGAGGCGCGCCCTGAGGTCTCGACTGTCGTGAACCGAAGGTAAACACGCGCTGGTGACACTGACACTGTTTGGTGACACTGACACAAGTGGGTGACGGTGACACTGCCGGCGTCCTCATTTGCCCCGACTATCGCGTGCCACCAGTAAACATCGAGCCGACATGCGTGGACGCTGGCCCGGCCGGTGGGCTCTCCACTTCCAGGTCAGACAGGCCAAGCCAAAGGCCTATCTGACCTCGAGGGATGGGTATAGTTTTTGACCCATATTTCAAAATCGGAATATCCAATTGAGATTGTGTACTGGTGGGTGGAGAGCATTCCCATTTTGAAATCAATAATGGTTAATATCAATGATCACCCGTAACCACCTGAAAAGTGAGCTATAAATGCGCCGATTTACACAAATTGTACCTGCGGGTTTGGATCAAACCACACAATATCGCGGCCTTGGAGACATTAGCCGTGAAAAATGAAATTAATTAAACTGGAGACTCTGTCAGTCGTCCACCATCTGTTCCCTCCTGTGGCCTAGATTGTGTGTCAGGGACACTGTCTAAGACAACAGATGTCAACAGGCAGGGGCGGGGACGACGGGCGGCGGGCGAGGGAGGGGGGAGGCTCACCTTCGTCATTTCCGCTGTAGTCTGACGGTTGTCGCTGGACGGTGTCACCAGATTGGAGATCTGGCCCGTACATCCGAACCAGTACTCGGCTGTGGAGCGGGGGTAGGAGGCGTCCACCTGCGGGAAACGGATCGGCACGTCAGCCGGTGGGTGACGTATTTCCCAGTCTCGACACTACCCGAGCTCAGCATGTGGTATGGCCAATGGCATCATGACACCGATGTGAATGCTGGCTTAGCAGACTAACTTATTAGCGGAAGTTGCGCGGATGTGAGAACAGGCAGAACACCCACTGTACGTTGTTCTTTTCGTAAATTTACGCAAAAGTTACATGATTGTGTACTGAATAGCGTATAGGGCCAAAACCATGGACATTTTATCATTTCATTGTTTCAATTTTCCGAAGGAGAAAAGAAATAATTATTTAACCCCACTTACCGAGAAGGCGGCGTCGTTGAACCGATAGTACGAGTCTCCCTTGAAGAAGTAGGTGCGCTTGTTCTCGTAGATGAGCACGCTGTCGATGTTGTTGGGAATGCCCTGCCAGATGCTGATCGGCTGCGGGTACTTGTCGCTGACGCCCGGCCGGCCTGTGGTCTCCAGCTCGCTGTCAAACCGCCAGTACTGCGAGCCCTTGAAGAAGTACATCTTGCCGTTGGCGCGCCATT